TCGAGAACAAACAATGCAGATGAGTAGACCGCGTTATGACGAAGTGCCCGCTCGCCGTGCTCTAAGGTTTCCGTTTTTACGGTGATACAGCGGGGCGGCGAAGCGTAGGAGGGTCGTTGACCCTATATACAGGTATGTGCACGTCATCCTAGTCCCCCCCGTTCGAGAACAAACAATGCAGATGAGTAGACCGCGTTATGACGAAGTGCCCGCTCGCCGTGCTCTAAGGTTTCCGTTTTTACGGTGATACAGCGGGGCGGCGAAGCGTAGGAGGGTCGTTGACCCTATATACAGGTATGTGCACGTCATCCTAGTCCCCCCCGTGTGCAGCGCCGAGATCGGACGGAGGAGATTCGACTTCTGGCGACGTCGCTGTCACGGAGTCAAACTCCACGTCCAATTTGTCGCATCCCCGAGATGTGAAAAGAAAAACATTAATTAACTAATTAATTACAGCCCAATTTTTATTTTCTTCAAAAGGGCTGATAAATCCACTCCCTAGTAATGAGAAACTGTACCCTCTGCTGGTCAATTTCGCTTCGTACTTGCGACAAAGGAGCGAGCGTCATGACAATGGAATGGAGCAGGTCACATGCAAGCGCAGCGAAGTGGAGCAAGTGACTTTTACTTTTACTTTTACTAAAGTGCCCCCTCTTATTACTGACTTATTAGGGCAATTAAATTTTAGGGTTTTTCATATCCTAAACATTTCTTCCTCAAAATTTAGTCCTTCCAAATCGATCAGTTAATGTAGACTCCCTGAGCTATGGCCAAGTTGCGAATATACAATCTGCAGCTCGGTTATGGAGCGTAGACTGTTGAGTGAAAACATTTTTTTTCACTTTTTTACCCTCAATGAAACAGTAACTTGCTTTTTTTTTAACAAATAGACCTCTTGAGCCTAAAAAAGAGTTAAACATATATCACCCATCGTGTCCATCCGCAATTTTTGCGATAGCACAATCGGTCTATCCTCAATTAACTCTTTTAAAAAAAAATTTGTTAACTCAAGTTAATCCTATCAGCTCATTCATGAATGCAACATCCAAAACCAACTCTTGCAGTCGACAATCATCTTCTTCTTCAGACTCAATCTTGAAAGATCTTGTATATTGAAAAAGAAACTAGACTCTTATTTTGTTGTTGTCGGAATAGAGAGAGAAACTTTGGGAGAATTTTCTAACTACTAGAAAGATATGTTTCTTTAATCTAAGTGCAATAACATTGAGGACCAAGGGCCCAACACTAGATGTCAAGCCCTCTCGTAATCTTGTCCAATCGTCGCTTGTATGGTACTCCAATCCGATTTTGGAGCCATGTAAGTATGTAACTCTTAAATGAGTCTGAGCGGCTTATCCTGAATAGCCTCACCTTATTGTTATAATAATTCGACGACATCTGTCGTTCTCATTAGTTTCGTATAGAGTATGGACCTCTAATCTTGCTATGTAAACCTCGAAGGTGAATGAAACTCCATTACATTTTTTGTATTAAGAATTGAGTTAGCTTATTAAGGGTATAAAGTTACAATTTACTATTTTGAATTAAGTACTAGCCCCACTATGATTAGACAAGTTGATGACGAGAAAAAAAATTAACCACAAATAACTTTATGCGGCACACAAGTACTTTTTTAGATTTAAGATAGTAGTAAGAAAAATATCAACTTAAAAAAAAAAGAACCAATATCATATAACAGTAAGTGGTTTGAACTAGGTTTTAATATGATATGAGTTCGATTCTAGATGGATTATTTGAAAAAAAGAACCAATATCTGACATTATGGGAGGGGTGATAGCGGGGATGGCATGGGGACGCACAGCGGAGCGGCTTCAGTGGGTCAAAAACCGTTGACCGGGGGTGATTGAGGCTGGGGACCACCGGGGGGCAAATAGGATTGTTGTTCTTTGTTGGTTCCCACCGGAAACGGGGTGCAGAAAAGTCCAAGGAATTGGACTAATCAGGCCTGGGAATCTTTGGACTTTTGCTTGGATTTGTTTACAGATAATAATAAACAATTAATTACTGATGAGAAAAGGAATGGAGGTTTGAAGACTAAGCAACACGACTAATTAATTAAAAAAACTATAAAATGTTTACCTTAAAAACTTTGCTACAGGGACCCAAAATATGGGACCAATAGAGGGGACAAGTGAGATGTCTCCCTCCTATTGGATAATGAGTTGGTCATCATTAATGATGGCTAACTCATTATCCAATAGGTGGGACAATAGAGGGGACAAGTGAGATGTCTCCCTCCTATTGGATAATGAGTTGGTCATCATTAATGATGGCCAACTCATTATCCAATAGGTGGGAAACACCTCACTTGTCCCCTCTATTGGTCCCATATTTTGGGTCCTTGAGGAATTTTTCTTACCTTAAACAAGATGGTAAGTCTCGGGTTCCTATTTATGTGTTGGGCCCAACAATGGCCGGGCTTGTAGGGGGGCCGGCCCCGTGGCAATGCTAGCTATGCATCAGGGAGTTATTTGGATCAAATATTTTATGGGCAGGGCCTTACCTGTATATATCTAGCCATGGACCCACCGCTAATCCTCTCCGTTAGCTACTTATACAATAATATTTTTCAATATGTTTAACAAGATTTTCAATTCTCCATTTTCAAGAGTCCTACCTAGGAGTGCTAAACCATATTCGTATTTGAGAAAATATTTATAACTGCATCAGTTAAGGATATGAATATGTCTACTCAAATTTATATCTGATAGGATATTTTTACGAATATGGTTTTATAGTGAAATATCTAGATCAGTATCCGAAATATTTGAATACATATTAGTCATACTGTTACAATAGTTCTAATTCTTAGATTATGTATTTGAGGTTAATTTTGATGATCAAAATCTCAAATCTTAGTTTTTCAGATACAATGAACATGTATTAATTATGAACTCCTTTTGTATCGCATGAGCTATATTTTTTTCAATTTTATTTAGTTTTCTCATATATGTTTTGTATCCGCATGCATATTCGTGTGTGTGTGTAGGATATAAATTTTCATTGTTGAGGTATATCCGTATACATATCCATATCTATGATGAGTAAAGCTTATCATATCATATCAGAGTCGTATCCGAATGCAATGCACACCTAGCCCCGATCCTCCCTACCATCCTTTTAGGTTTACAGTCATGTATGAGGTATGGAATAAGACATCCAACTGGCTACCAAGATATGCTTCTTTTTCCATAATACATTAAAAACAAATGACCTTGTAAATTCTTGTCCACCGTATATTACTTTCCTACATATAGTGTCTTTCGATCCATGTAAAACAACACCCAATGCTCTTAAAAGGCTACAAATGATAGTGTGACTCAAATATGGACTTAAGCTAAGAGTTTTCTTTATTGGATAGACTTGGCTGGGAGGATTCCTTTTGATTAGGAATTAAGTTGGTCATCAATGCAATCCTATTGTGTATAAGACTTGCATGTTGGTGATAAGAAAAAACATAAGTGAACTGTTGTGCGCGACGAAGCCTCGAAGCGACACGAACAATCCAAGAGATAAATCACAACTAATAAGCCAAACACAATACCACAGCAAGACAACGAGTTTAACGTGGTTCGGTAAGTTGCCTACGTCCATGGGGGTAAGGAGAGGGGAGTTCTTACTATTAGAAATCAAGAGAATACAAATAGGGTTACAAATCTCACCGATCAAACCCTAAAATAAAACTCTAGATCTCTCACAAATCTCTCACAATTGGATGCAACAATCCTCTCCCAAAGACTGCTCAAAAACATCCTTGCTTAACCCTAACTAATCAGGATTAGAGTTATATACTAACTCAAAATAAAACGGGTTAAAATACCAAAGCTCAGCCCAAAACAGACTGTGGTCGACCGCGACGGTCGACTGAACACCTCCGACAGAGAATAAATCGGCTACAGGAAACTCACGGTCGACTGCCACGGTCGACCGAACCAATTCCAGAGAGTTAAATCCATTACAGGGTTCGCGCGGTCGACCGTGACGGTCGACCCCCTTCAGCTCCGAATCCTACTACGC